GGGGGATCCCTGTGGGAGCGGTGACTGAACCATTCTGTGCAGGGAGATGCCGTGAGCTGAGTGATCAGTGGTTTATCATCACTCAGTTCTCGGGTTATAGAGCTGACCTGTGACAGCTGCAGTGTCACACGCTGACAAACTATTGGGAAGAGAACATTTTACTCTCCCATTAGTTCCCTTTTAACAAATACCGTGCATTGTGGTGTGTTGCAGTGCACGTCTGTCACCCGCTACTATAAAAGTCTATTGGGTTGCCATTGAAAGTCAGGCATGGTAATGAATACCGGTGAATGGACCCTTTGAGATCCACGCCTTCTAAGTAGCAATAGACCTCTCACTGGCATCCCTACAGAAAAAGAACATTTCCATAAATCAGACAAAATAAACAATACCACAAATATATAAAATAAATAACATTTATTCATTTTTAAAATATTTATAAACTTAGCACATACAATGTGAAAGAGCAGAGGATCACCTTTGATTGTTTCCTGCTGATCACCTAACTCTGACGTCCTGGTCCTGTATGGACTGAAGGCAGATATGGAATAACCCCCAGAGGCACAGAGCATCTAAAATAAAATAGAACTGGTGCATGACTTGGATCTACTACAATTCACCATTCCCAATGTAACTGGTACAGCTGAGAATAAAAGGAGGTAGTGCTATGTTTTATGGGCTTAGTGCTCCCGTCAGGAATACAGAACATTTTTTTCCGGATGCACATCAATAAAGTTAGACTCTCCCCTAAACAGTGCTTTGCATATCTCTGGTTCTGTAACAAAGCTTCTGCTAAGTCTTTGGGTTGGTCTTTACAAGTGTACAAGCGCACCTAGCTTCATATTCCGGAATACCAGATATTTGCATCTTTGTCAATGCTCCTGTCTTTTCTGTTTCTGGAAGTACCATTTCCTTGGCTCCTTAAAGTGACACTGAACTCTTGAAGATCAATTATCCTATTAATAATGCTAGGCCTTATTTGTGTATCACTCGGCTGTAGATCCCAAAATCATCTCTGAATTGGTGCTGACACTGTCCTTCCTTCTGGAGGGGGGCTACTTTTATTCCCCATGGTCCCTGTGTGTGTTGTAAATTAGTCACCACTCCAAGCTCACTGCCGTGATAAACTACAATCTCAATACAAATTAGTAACCTAAACATGAGATTGTAGTCCATAATGGGAGTGAGCTTGGAGTGGCGACTACTTTACAACACACACACACAGCAATCATGGGGAACAAAAGTAGTCCCCTCCAGAAGGGAGGACAGTGTCCGAACCAATTCAGAGATGATTTAGGGCCGGTGCACACCTGGGCGTTCCGTGACCGCGCGGCAATCGTGCACGATACCGCGTGGCCATGGAGTTGCCCATCACAGACGATCTCGTTGTGGGTGCCATTATTTTTTAATGGCACCCCAGTCGCGCTGGGCGGATCACGGATAAAACAGCTGCGCGTCGAGTATCGCAATAAAAGAGGTACATGTACCTTTTTTTCTGCGATTGCCACCCAGATGTACCCCATTGAAATCAATAGAGCCGCGCAGCAATCGCTGTCTGCAATTGTGCACAACTGCGCGATCCCGGGACGTGCGTCCCGCATCGCTCAGGTCTGCACCGGCCCTTAAGGATCTACAGCCCAGTGATACACAAATAAGATACATTTTTGTTAATAGTTAAGGTACTTGAATGCATTTTTAAGATTGAACTCGAGTTTAATGTCACTTTAAATGAAATCCACCTTAATAGAAAAAAGGCCGCCATTGTTTAATCTACAGAAAATGCAAGATGCCAAGCAGTCTGCCAATGAGGAGTCATTAAACTGGATAAACTATACGAGTCCAGAACAAATTAAGAGTTCTGATTTCATGCATCGCCTGCCTGCACAAGGTTAGTGACAAGAGAAGCACTGAAGCCACAGATACCCTGGGCAATAACATCTTCTGATAGAGTTTAGCATTCAAAGTATCTCTCATGGTAGGAGT